GGGGTGTATTTGTGGAGCACAGGGACAGACATGGAGCTGTGCCTTGGCGTTGCAGGCAGCCTGGGACTCTCATTGTCCTGTATTTTCCTCTGCAGGCTCTGGCTCCGGAGGGAGTGGGGGTGCTCCTTTCCTTGCCCTCAGGGGGCTGGGGATGCGGGGCAGGAGGAAGGCTGGGAGGAAGGACCCATACCCGCACCCTGCAGCTGGACACCGGCTGACATCACCGAAGAGGTGTGCAAGAAAATCAGGGGCACGTCGGTGCCAGAGGGCCCTGGGGAGGTCTCGAGGGAGAAGACACCCACAGACCTGTTTTTCCCCACTCCATCCCATGCAAACCTCTCCCGCCCACACAGGTCTCAGCCCGGGTGTGAGCTCCTCTCAGGGGATCCATCCAGCACGGTGTCCTGAAACAGCTCAGAGTGTCTGACACTCCTGACACCCGTACCCACAGGCTCACCCCACTGGGCTGGGAGGGATGGGATATTTGGGGGGATGGCTGGGACATTCCTGACATAGAAGCCAGCTGTCGCCACATCATGAGGGATGCTTGGCCAGTCCCTGTGCTGAGCACAGCAGGTGCAACGCACCCAGGGTACAGCATGGCCACTCCTCTGTGCCCCCGGAGCAGCCAAGAAAATCAGCCTTTGCATCCCAGCGGGATGGCTCAGAGAGGCAGGGAGCCCTCCATCGCTCCTGCCCCACTCCCCACCACGGGATGGTGCCATGGTGAGATGGATGCTGGTGGTGGGGAAAGCTGGTCCCAGTCCCTCCATGTCCTCCCGCTCTTCAGCAGAGGGACGTTGCATAGGTGGTGGCCTGGCCCCCCTCCACCTCCTCCAGCTCATACTCCTCAGCGTCGGAGTGGGGCAGCCCATTGGTGCCGGGCATGGGCTCACACTCCGTGCTGCGAGTGGTGGCACGAGTGACGCTGGGCGAGTATTTCCGTGACTGCGGCGGGCGGTGGCCAGGGTGGCACATCACCTCCTTGAACATCTCCCGGAAGCGGGTGGACATCAAGTTGTAGAGGATGGGGTTGGCGGCCGAGCTCAAGTAGAAGAAGACACCTGAGATGATGTGGACGTACTGGAACATGTGGAGCATGTGGCTGGTCCAGGTGGAGATGAAGCTCCAGACCAGGCGGTCAGTGTGGAAGGGGGCCCAGCAGATTCCGAACACCACCACCAGCATGACTGTGGGGAGCAGAGGAGCTGGTGTTAGTGGGGGGATGGAGCTCAACCCCCGGGGACCTCCAGTCCCTGGCCGAGCACTGCCCCGTTTCAGCTTCGGCCATAGCAAAGAACACATGAAAGAGCACAGGAGAGAGGAGAGGGAAAAGGGGAAGGGCCCCCCAGCACCTTTTTGACTTGCTGTGGAGGGGCTGGAGGTCTGGACAGGGTCTCCATCCCTCCATCTTCTGCCAGGGCTGCTCCAGGCGCTGCTGTGCCACTTGTCTCTGCTCCCCATCAGCAGGCACCCCGCTGCAGCCCCAGGGCCATGCAGTATGGCTGGGGGATGCCCCTGTGGGCATCCAGCCTCTGGGAACCCTGCCACCTTCACCAGCAAAGTCCAAGGAGCAAGAGCTATTTGCTCTCTTTCCTTGTGCTCTGGTTTTGGGTTGTTTT